CATATTTAAAATGTTTTCATAGAAATTAAGGTCCTTGCACACCGAGTCCGAAATTTTCGTATGTGTTTTTTTCGGGGGGGGTTTTCGTATTCGTAATCCTTTCCTATCAAAATGCTTGCTACGGATACGAAAACGCAGAAAAATGAACCTGATCCGAATTTTTTTATGACGGACGAAAGTTTTGGAGGCAGTGTGTAAACGTGATTGACACAACGTGAGGTCATATTTATTTTTTTACATGCGAAAATTCCGGACGAGAATTTCGGACTCAGTGTGCAAAGACCTTTAATGCAAATGGGCTTAAAGGACAAGCCATCTGAGATGATAATGTTCACCATCTGTATTCAAACCTACAGAAAAAGCCCGGAGGTGACTTATGACCTTCCACACTGGGAGCGCACAGGTGCGTCTGTTCTCAGTTGTTTACGCTTTTGCATTTCCACCTACATAAATTATTAAATGTGAGTGAATGTGTGCTTTAGTGTGGTGGAAGAGTATGAAACAGTTGCTGCCCTCTAAGTTGGATGGAGAAGACTGTGTTCGTTACAGTTCCACGGCAAGAGTAGACCCCCGGAGACCCCGGGTGGAGCCTGCAGGTACACATACAAACAAACTGTTCAGATTAGTTTTATGTTCTCCAACAAACACTTGAACAATCTATTTTCTGCCTTTCCTATCTGTGTAGAATACGCCCAACCACTTGTCACCAGTACAATGGCCTCTCTTGGACAAAGGTCAACGTTCAAGCCCGAAGAAGCCGATGCCCCCGAGTATGATGCTCCTATTTCCCCTGAACATTACCATGCTTACGCTGAGCCCCTTCCTGCATCTGGCACTGAATATGCCATGCCAATCATGATTGACAGAGCTAACCACCTATCAGGAGGCACTCTACCATTCAGGGGGCGTGGTTTAGTGGCTCGGACAGACAGCAGCCAATCAGCAAGCTCAGCCTATGACACACCCAAGAGCACATCTGATCAAGCCACACCCACAGAGGGACAGTTGTACCAAGTGCCACAGAATACCCACAATGCACCGTGTCAGAAAAAAGACTGACCAATCGCAGAAGAGCGGACCCTTTTGGAAGCCCACGGCTGAACACTACCTTTCCCAGAAATCTGCAGATCAGATCAGAATTTGCCATCTCAAATTGTATGCCGCGCAAGTCCTATCACTGAAATAACACACAGGAATGTCAGGAGAGAGAGAACAGCAGAGATCTCGTTACACTACTGTGTTTTGTGGGTGTTTTGTGTGTTCATATGTCTAAATGTGTGTATACGAGTGCATAATATGTGGCTGTGCTCTGCTATCAAACTGTGAGTCCTTAGATATCTGTGCATTTTTCAGAGAGCGGAGATGTATTCGACTCGATCGCTCGTTGTAAGGCACATTTTTCCCTTTAGGCAAAGATATTTTCAACAAAACCACCCTCACGCAGAATAACAAATGATCGCATTTCAAATGAATAGACAAACACTCTCATAACACTGTGATTCACTGTCATTTTGCACTGTTGTATTGTATTCTACTGTTACATAGGTGCCTTCTTTGTGACATAGCAACACAGGCCTGTGCTGGTTTCTCTAGTTCTGTTCCAAAACCTGGTGAGTTAGCTTGCTATCTATACTGCCTACATAGACACCTGCCTTAACAATGCAGCATACTAACTTATAGGGGTGCACATCTGACATTGGTTTTCTTAGCCAGAGATAGAATATTTTCGATCTGGTTACCGTTTAATAGATTCAGGGGCCTGCGGTTGATCTATCAATTGTACAATATTATGTGCCCGTTTTAATTTTTTTAAATTCAACTCACAAATGCAGCCAAAATATAATAATTGAACTCTGAAAATTGCAAATTCTGTATCTTCAACAAGAAATCAAGTCACACATGAGATCATCAGTCATCTGATGACAGTTCATCATTGACTTGTGCAATGATATAAACCATGACAACAGTCAAGAAAGTCTTTCAGTCTTCTGTGCAAATCTAGTGTTCTGAATTCTAAATTAGGTACTCAGTTATAACAATGTACTTGTACTGGAAACAAACAACAGTCAAACAAGTTTTCTAGTATATATCTTATAGATATATAAAAATATAATTTTTTTTTTTTGTTGCATCGATGCACCGTATCGTTAGTCACTGACTTAAGGCTTAAATACAGAACTTTTGTCTTGGTTTTTGCCCCAATTTACAGTCTGGACAAATCCGTGCTAGTTGCTGAAAGTCAGAGTCAGTCTGCAGATTTGAGGTGACTGATTTCACATAAAATCATAGTGTACGACCACATACTGCCAGGGATGCGCAGTTTTTCCTCTGTAACCGAAGTTAGTAAATGTATGATGCCTAGTGTTTAAAAATCTGTTTAGATTTGAAAAGTCTTATAGTCCTATCCAGCTAGCATGTTACTAGCTAATGGTTAGCATGTTGCTAAGCTAACACCTCAGCACCTGAGCACAAAAATACATTTTACACAAATATTGGGCAAAACAGTCAGTTTTTATGTATATTTAACTAGTTAGACTATATTTTTCATTATTGAATGACGTGGTTATTTATAATCATCAAAGGATTTGTCTACACTTGGATGAATTTTTTCACTGAACTCATTGCAATGCAGACATTTGGTGCCTTAAAATGCTGTCTTGCTAGGTAGCTCACAAGGTTTTGGAACAGATGATGGTTGTGTGCATTGTTCAGTTAAGTCTGAATAAATTTAAGTAGGACGGACTGACAAACATTTATTCAGCGCAGGAACTAGGAAGGCCTTTCTTAAAAATAATGGTACAGCAATGGTGCTGGTGCTGCATTTTAAATTTCCATGGAAAAGTCCTCCGTGCATGACTGCACATAGACATTCATGCTAAGTATATTATTAGTCATGCACGTCAACCTGTGCCACGCAAAAATCCATTTTATTTTTCCTGCTGATGTGTCTTGTATTAATACTCCCAAACCACTAACAGGTCGAGTTTAAGCTACCAAGCATGCACTGCTTCCATAGTTACACTGTCCTAATGGATACTTTACCAAATGTGACCCTTTAGCGGTCAAAGGTTAAAGAGCAAAACACCGACATTCTTGCCTATAACAGGATTCACTCTGTGCCAAGTTGTCTTTTATATATCTTTTTTTATTATTGTTGACTTGAAGACCAAACAACCTGATGGATAATCAATCCAAGCATATTATCCATTTGATTTAATGTTGTCAGACCAAACATTGCCTCACGCTATGGATTTTGGATACCAGGATGTTGCATGTTCAAAGTCAAAATAGTACACTGTTATGTTTGTCATTTACTACAACATTATAAGTCATATTTCGGTACTTGCGTTAGTTTACTGACTTAAAGCAAAGAAATGTCCACAGTGGTGGTGCTAGGGACATGCCTGTATGTTTCAGTGTCTTTGTGTGTTTAAAGTGTACCAGATTCAGTCGTGTATGTGCATGTCTGCTTGTAGTTCTTGAAATCTTATCAGAGTTCTATGTAATGTGTTTCTGTGCACTGTATCCACAAGCCTGTGTGTGTGTTCATGTGTGTCTGCCGTTCACTGTACATCTGTCTCTAAATGATGATTGGTACTGTAGATTGATTGTAAAGAAAAACAATTTAAAAATGTTAAATTGAATTTTATTAAAAAATTAAATGTAATTACAAAAACTAGGCAGCTGGATTAATTAATAGCTTTGTATCCTAGCCTTCAAATTTATTCAGCAGTGCCATTTCTTTTTTTTTTTTTTTACTCCTTTACTATTCACATTAATATATCAAAATATAAACACACCTCTATTAATGTGACCCAAGCAGCTGAAATCCCAAAGCATATTAACAGATTTGAGCTTCAAAATGTCTTTTTTTTTCAACATCAAAATTTCATTTTAAAATGTATATAAAGATACACGCTGAAATGTATATTTTTACACAAAGACGTTATTTTTCAATATTTTAAATACACACTATGTAGTTCATTCAAGTAGTCTTGCAGTGACAAAAGATTTTTAAATGACAAATTCCACGTAATCCCTCAATAATATATGGATATAATACGTGTAATAATTATAAATTAGAAAACACTTATGTCACACTTTGATATGTCATCTACTAAATACATTTATCATTAACAATTATTAAACAATCACAAACCATTTAGACTGACAAAAGCCCTAAAATTTCCTGCAAGTAGTATTCTAGCGTCTGACTGAGTGACACTGCATTATACCAAACTGACATACTGACAAAAGAGTCACTTTAAACTATTTGGCGCATAACAAATACATAAGCCAAGTGTGTAAACTAGTGTATTCTTCTACAACTTTAAAAAATTACCACGCACTGTTGTGCGTTGTATATAACAAGTAAACGCAGAGTTCAGTAAACAAATTGTCAAAGACGCCCCCTGCTGGCAGTTAGGACACATTACTGGTACACTCCTTACTGCATATATGCGGGACGCACTTTATGCGGACTAATATTATTTATAATTTATTTTAATAAATTGTTTTAAAACAGTATACAGTTGCTGTTGGCTCATTCATCGCACTGTAACTAGATCAAGTCAAGTGTGCCCTTTGTCTACTGCACATTTTACACATTGTAAGTCATATGGGAAGGGCCGCATTAAGACAGCACTGGGCCCTGGGGCTATGACTTACTGCAGGGGCCCCTCCTTTCTCGGGCCCCGGGGCTTCAGCCCGCCTAGCCCTATGGTTAAAACGGCCCTGCATATGGGTATGTACTGTAGAAAGTAAATTTGCATACTATGCACAATATACATACAACATACATAAATTAGTAGTATGCTATTCCAAACTTAGAATATGTAAAATGTGAGAAAAGACCCCAGTGCCATGATTCAAGACAGCTGGAAATTATAATTATCCATTACTCATTTCCTGACTGGAAATGCAGGCCAGTTTTTACATTTCATCAGGATATAATTATGTAGCATACAGTGGAGTTCAAAAGTCCACTTGTGAAAATGTTTCTATTTTACAATGTTCTGCTTTAACACAGGTTTGTTTGTTTCCATTACAGATTATATTTTAAGCATAACAATTTTAGTAAAACATTTACACAAATTGCACACTTGACTGCTATTCTGAATCTCAGATTGTTACTGTATATTTTCCACTGTATATAAGACTATAAATATTATTATAGAATCGTATCAAATAGGTTTTGGTAAACAATTTATTCTCAAAATTAGAAAAGCAGATATAAAGTTAACTTAAATAATACATTTTAACTGCTTTCAGTGTGCCTAATAATGACTCTTAAGTGCAATGTTTACATCATCGTTTTCTGATGGACATTTCCATCTTTTGGTTTATTCCTCCATGTTCTTGCCCTTTTTGCCCACTTTCACATACACCGTTGTGAGTAGGACAGCCGTCACCAAGATCAGTCCACTGGTGACCAGGTATGCTATGGGCAGGAAGTAATTCTGCCCACCAAACCAGGTCACCATTGAGATCACCAGCTCCTTCCGACCTCTAAAGGGCTCGACAGGAAAATCTCGAGTTATTGGTCAAGGCAAAACCTAGTTACAGGAAAAACAAACAAACAAACTAATGTAACTGATAAACATGATCCCCTAAAGAGATAGTTCACCCAAAAATAAAAATTCTGTCATCATTTACTTACTCTTGTTGTTCCAACCCTGTGTGACTTACTTGCTCTGCAATATGTAAAGATGTATTTTGAGAAATGTCTGTTTTTTTTGTTGTTGTTGTTTTTTTCCATGCATTATAAGTCAATGGTCACCAAAACTGTTTGGTTACCATAACAATATACTTCAAAACATGTTGTGTTCTTCAGAGTAAAGTAAGTCATAGAGGTTTAAAATTACATGAAAGTGAGTAAATGATAACAGAATTGTAATTTTTTGAGGAACCATCCCTTTAAACAAAAAAAAAATCACATTGTGACTATGTAAATTTGTCAGCTGTTTAAATAGGTTTTGTCACCAAACTGAAAGCCTGTCAGTGCTGCTGAACAATTTCCTTCCATTTACAACCAATTCTGTTCTCCATCAAGCAAGGATACTGTAATCTATAGAGAGGGTGTAGTTGCCGGCAGGCAGGCCTTCAGTGAAAGGCCCTTGAGCACGATTGAGAACCCCATAAAGCTTTTTGAAATTAGGGAAGGCCGCCTCTCTCATCCAAACAATCAGGTCGTCATTTATAAAGCCATTGTTGTTGGAGTCTGTGTCATCCAGCTCATAAACCGGACGCTGCCAATACAAGGGCCTAGTCGTGCCTGAGAACAAACAGACAGACAACAATGAGGAAAAACTGACACATATGTTCATAAACGTGTGGTGTATGCTGTGTAGCCTACCTTCAAAGGCTTGTTGGAGAGTGAATGTGTTGTTGGTCGGAGGGTTACGGAACTTGACGTTTTTGTCCGTGTACCAAGCGATGCCCTTCCTGTAGAGTTTAACTTGTATTTCTGACACATCCGTTGGATTATACATCACTGTTAATGAGTCTTAAAAAAAAAATATATAATTATATATATATATATATATATATGTATATATATATACACACACACACATACATACAGTCAAACCAAAAATGATTCAGACACCAGATATAATTTTTTTTCTTTACTAGTGGATGCAGGACACTATATATGTAAGTGACAATAGCAAAATAAACTGTGACATATTATACTTAAAAATTCTTCATACAGTGGACTACCGGTAAAATTGATAATTTGGGACCAAAAATTATTCAGACACTTTGACCTGACCATGTTTTACTTAAGTGTACTTTCTTTAATTGCTAATGCGACCTTTTTACACCACAGACTGAACAAAATTAAGCATTGCCTGGTAATTGGTTGCCCTAAATTGGTATTATTATCTAACTGTGTACTTAAATTTGATAGCTGACAGCTATTCAACCTAATTCTTTACTTCTATCAAAGTTATCTGACATTATCAAAATGAATTTGTTCTGACACAGTTTAACTGAGTTCTTGTCGTATTTTATTACCATTTTCTAAACAATAGCGAATAAACTGTGATAATGTGAGAAATGTTGAAGGCGTCGTGTCTATATACAAGCACAAACAGCGATTAAAAAAACGGACGGTTTATTGGCATAATTGTAACATGGGTCTTACCATTGAACATGCTGCTGGCCACGGCACCGCAGGGGGCAATGGGTATTCTGCTTGCATCGTAATCGAACGGCGCGCAGTATGAACTCGGAGCCTACGTGAGCAATAACAGCATCTTGAATGTGACAACAGCGCTACTAATGTGAAGCGTAGTGCGAGATCAAATAAAGACAGACGTTATTTTAATCAGCGAGTGGGAGGGATGAGGAAAGAGCGTGAAAAAGGAGTGCAAACAGAAGGGGAGTGAAAGAGACGTCGAGCACCTTCAGGTTGTTCTTCCTCCCCACCATCTGTGCATCATCGCGGGAGTCCATGTACCTCCGCAGGTTCTGATGAAAGTTCCTCAGA